CTTGCACATTTTTGGTAAAGAAATAATAAAGAAGCAAGGGGAAAAATTCCTGGTGATGTGTTAATATCAGTAGAAAGAAAAAGAAAAGGATTAAGGCACGTAATAACTAATCTATTTGCTCAACACACCCTAAATTCAGTGTATGAAGAACCTAAAAAGAACCCCACACAGCATATACCCTACTTGTGCTCTTAAAAAGGAAGCGCTCAACCAAGCAAAGAAAATGATCATTCAAACTAAAAACAGTTCAGTTCCCTGAGACTTTAAGAGGAGCAAAACAGACTGTTTTTATATGCTGTCACTGATAAGCAAGGACAACAGTGAAAAGCAGCCTCCTAGCTAACAGCTTCCTTTCTGAAGGAAAATGCTGTATATAAATGTCTTATATCAGATTCAGAGATACAACTCAAATCAATTAGCTTCAGAAAAAATACGTTTAATTGGGCCAGGGGGAAAATAATGTCAACGTTATTTTTAAAATTTCACTTCTATGAAGTGAAGTGAACTTGAGCTCTAGAAATATTAATACAAGTCACAGAGCAGTGTTTTCAACTGTTTTAATCTCATTTGCTATGCTTTTGAATATGACATAAAAATATATTTAAATTTATTATTAGTGCTTCACAATAGATGCTACTGAGTTTGGACTCAAGAAGTTAGGGCACCAAGTCACAACACAGGCTTACATGCATACCTACAGTAGTAGATACTTGTAACTTTAGGTTTCCACCTATAATTTATTCATTCATATTTTTCCCTGGTATTTATTCTGGATGCAAAATTACATCTGCAAAACACCAATGCTGGTTTGAAAACAAATTAAACCATGTTTACAAACAAGCAGGAGAGGATCTTAATAGTAAAACAAAGACATGATGAATAGGGAAGTCTTTCTGCATGTTATATACTAGAGAACAGGAGAGTTTTCTGAAGGTGATAAAGTAGTAGTAATTTTAAATAATGGCAGCATCCAAATCTGCAGGTTCCAAAGGGACCTCCTTAAAAACCAAGAAGTTTTCTGTGATCCTTGCTTCAACTTACAGTTTAGGTTTATAGAGCAATTTTGCTAATAGAAATATTCAGACTGCAACATGGTTTGGGTATTCCCAAAATATTAAATGCAAAAATTGGCAATTCCCCTCCCTTCTCAATGAGTGACTCTTGTATTCTCTTCTCACTGCAGTTTGAAGTGCATGGAGGAGTGAACATCCATGGCAGAGGAGACATGCTAAAGTGGAGGGAATGCTTAGTGGGGTGTTCTAACAGAGTAGTAAAAAGCATTTGAGATGTGCAGTTCTTTGTATGAACAGTAGCACACAAAGTGTTCTTTTGGATAGTCGCACATAAGGAAATTTATTTAAGTGGCGCTCACGTGAAGTAAAGGAAAGTACCGACCAGAATAGTCTTTATACTTTCTAGCCAGGGACCTCAAAACAAAATGCAAACATTATCAGCCTTCAGCATTACTTGGAAGTAGCTCATACACATATTTTATAGATGGAAAAAAGAGTGGTTCAGTGACCTGTTCAATATCACAGAGTTGCTGGTGAAGAAGAGATCAAATCCCTCTCTGACTCCCCTTGGTCCCATGCTCTATGCACCAATAGAGTCATTGTTCTTCCCCTCCAAACTCTACTTTATCCCACTTTTTCACCTGCACATTTATATTACAAGATTTCATTTTGCTACACTCCTCTACCCAGTCCCATACCATGCTACATAACTGGAAAGCTTTTCAAACACACTCCTCTTATCAATTTCTCTTGATTTTCTAGGAAAAGAGGCAGCAAATAGAAGTCCATGATCAAATGAAGCAGCTGATTAGCTTTCTTTCTCATTAGCTAAACTGAATGATGATGTGGCAGGAAATGTGGGATGCTTAACTCACTGCTACTTTGCAGTATGACCAGTCACTTATTCCTGAATAAGATGCAGAACAATACCAGCAGTGAAAATGATCAGCTCATTAAGATTCTGAGGTTTCCTTGCTCACTTTCTACAAGTGGCATTGAAGATGTAATGATGGCATGGGGCAATTGACACAAGAAGCAGAAATGTAGAATAAAATATTCCTGTGCAGAGTACTAAAAGCAAGGACAGGACATCATGTACTGTGCAAAGCAGAAGCAGAGGAAGGATAGCAAAGGAACAACTACAACGTAGTCAGCTCAGTAGATGAGAAAGGAGATTTGAGTAGCCACTTTTTGGCTGGACTGAAAAGAGTTTTCCTACATGGTAGACCAGATTTGGGAAGACGTTTGTTCTCCCAGAACATTAATAACTTGTCCAAAACCTCAATGAAGATCTAAATTTACATAGTCTCACACCAAAAAGGTGTCTTTATTGAAACACTTTTTGAGAGGCCCTTGAAATGTCCAATTCCCTCCCTTTTACAAAAAGAGAGCTGTATATTGTATAGGCTGATTATCTAAAGAAAGAGCACCCTATTGCTTTATTATCATTTGAAGAGTTTGGAGGTTATACTCATTATAACCCAGTACAGAGGGGCTACACACACAAATCCCTTTACCTTGCAGTGAAAATACATCACTTCAACATTTTAGATTCAGTACAGGCAGTCCTCAACTTACAACGTTTCAAGTTACAACATTTTGCACTTACAACGTTTATAAATTGACACCCTGTTTCAACTTTCTCATGTCAATTTTGACTTTACAACTCTTGATCTGATGCCAAGCCATGCCAGGGGACAAGTTCGCTGTGTCATCCATCTCCCTGGAGAACATCTGTCCAAACTTCCTTGGATACTTTCTTTAAGAAAGCAGACAAGACTCCAGAAAAACCTGCAGCCAAGACTCCTTAGAAGACTCCAGCCAAGAACCCTTCAAAAAGTCCAGCGAAGTCATCTTAAAGAAGTCCTTCCAAATCAATATGACTGCTATTTACAATATAAATACATTAACACAGCTATATTACTCATCTAATAATTGATCAAGTACAAATTCTGGGGTATTTTTGGTGAAAATAGGGTATTGGGCCTTGGTTCAGGAACCATTTATAACATTGTTTCTTATGAGAAAATTGGTTCTGAGTTGCAATGTTTCAACTTAAGACCGGGGGTTTTCAGGAACGAATTGTGTTGCAAGTCCAGGACTGCCTGTAGTCAACAAGCATAATCACACTTCTATCTGGTTATTTAGTCTGTATTTAGCTATACTTTTATGTGGCTCAAAGCCATGATGATTCTGAATAATACAGCCTATCCCAATTCATGATAAAACAGTATTTCCTTTAAGAAAAAAAAAAAGTTTGAGTTTGCAGTCATCCTGTACAGATACTGTGTTTTTTCACGTTCAGACTTTACCACTGTCTTGCAGAGAAGACTCACTTCTAAAGAACTCTTATCAAACCAGATTGACTGAAAACTGCTTAGGCTTCTGGATGTGCCTTCTCACATTTCATGCTACGCCTGTGCTCTGCTTACTCCACTCTTAGGAGCAGATAGATAGGCTGTGCTTCTGAACTACGTGAAAATCCCACTCTTACCAACTACGTCAGAAACCCGATTTTTTTCCATGGTGTAAGAGAGAAATGGATAAAGCCGGTGGTTACAGATTTGTGCTAGGTAAATGACAGCATAATAGATGCATACACTTTAGGGCACAAGCCTGCAACCCTTATTCATGTGAGCAATTCCATTTCTTGTCCTGCTGCCAGGACACAAGGACTTCTATGAGACTACCTAGGAAAGTAATCCTAGCTCTAGAGAGTAATGGTTGCATACTCAGATAATGTCTCTCTTCTGATATGCTTTAAAAATTGTAAGTGCCAGAAATTTTTGAGATGATGATAATAATCCTAGAATCAGAGAGAAGTACAGCTGGAAGGGACCTCCAGAGGCCAACTAGTACTGAGGCAGGAATATCCCTATCCAAACCATCCTGTACAAACCCTAATCTAAATTCTATGTAAGACTACCTTCAACCCGGATATAAACACAGACCTAGCACCTCAGCCTGCCACAGGTAAAGCAGAGGAACCATGACAATACAATACTGCTCACTCTCTTCCTCTTCCAATACAATATTGTTGAAACTACACCCATGAACCCCATGTCTGATTCTGAAGAGTACAATGGGCTGCCCTTGTTCCCCATAAAACCAGGAATCACTTTAAACAGAAATAAGCTACCATCACTCGGTTGGCTACATGCCAGCACTCGCACAATGTGCTTGCAGCAGGGCCTTGCACAAGTTTACACGCTCAAGGGAAACATGCCTCTTCCTTTCGGGGGGGCTTACAAAAACTATAAGGAGGAGTACAAGCATTAGTGTAAACCTGGAAGTGGTAAAAGATGACCACTTTAGCACACAGCAACCCTTCCTTTTTTAAAAAAATAAGTACATTTTTGTATGGATTATATTTTAAGTTTACAGCCATCTCTCTAGAGACAGAGAAATCTGTATCCAGAGAGAGACTGGGCAGTATTACTATACACACGCATACACGCACACAATACACACACACACACACACACACACACACA